CAGCAGCCACCTTTCCCCTCCCCTTGGCACTGCCCTGCCCTGGCGCAGCGTTGCAGCAAGGACAGGAGGCATCAGCATATTTACAAATGAACACGTCTCCCTTCTGTATCAAAGTGGTGCCAGGCACTGGGGTGACCAGCGCTGGGCGCACAGTCCACGGGCACGGCCCGCACAGCCCTGCAGCCCTCAGGGCAGCCAGTGCCCGCAGAATGTGGCCGCCAGGCGCTACAGGCCGAAGCGGGCCGGAGTCCGTCGTGGGGTCATGGGCTCCCCCTGCTCCTTGCGCCCAGGGGTATAGATCTTCACCGACCTGCCAGGAGAGGGCACAGCTGGTCAGAAGGGCCAGGCCTGGATCCCGCCAGCCTGTGCCAGCTTGGTACTGCTTGCAGAAGGGCCCAGCCTCAGCAGGACCCACCCAGCAGAGTGCACAGCCCCAGGCAACCCCATACCCACCAAGGAAGGCGGGGGGCCACAGCCAAGTCCAACACTGCCAGTGCACAGCCCAGGTCCTACCTCAGACTGCCCAGGGGGTTGCGGCGCTCCTGCTCTTCCCGGCGCGCGCGCAGCTGCTCCTCAGCCAGGGCCATCTCCTCCTCCATGGCAGACGCCTCCTCCTTGGCCCGACGACGGTTCTCCTGCCACAGCCAGACAGTCGCATGTGGGTGGGGGGTCTAGCTCGGGCTGCTGCAGGCTCCCTGCAGAGCTGCAGCCTCGCAGCAGGACCCCAGGGCCCAGCCCTGCCTGCGCCCTGGCCTTAGCGCACAGGGGGGGGCAGCACCTTGGCTGGGGCCAGGCCCTTCCCTCCATGCCCCAGCCCCAACAGTCACACAGACGTACCTGGCGCGATTTGCCAGCGTGTTTGATGCTGTAGAACATGGGCCCCAGCTCTGCCAGCCACTCCCCGTCCACAGCCGTGACACATTGCATGTACTCCTGCAGGCAGAGCCGCCGTCAGCTCCCTGGCCCAGGGCCTGCAATCCCCATACCCGCTGCTCCACCCTCTGCCCAGCCTCCCCACAGCTCACCTTGGTGGTCATCACCAGCTCATGGTAGACGATGTAGTCGGGTGTGTAGCCCATGCCAAAGAGGGAGCTGGTGGGGTGCAGGTGGCAGGGCATCCCTGTGCGGATGTTCACGTACTCCCCGATGCCCTGCGGAAGGGAAGCCTGGTCAGCGCGACCGCAGGCAGGTGCCCCCGCCTCCTCCAGCCCCCCGGAGCCTTCTCACCTTCAGCTTGGCTGCCTGGTGGAAGTAGGCAGCACAGATGCACTTGCGCACGATGTCCCAGTCGGTGCCACAGGAGGCCAGGCTCATGCGCTGCTGCACCATGATGTCCTTCAGCTGGGCCCGTACCCCCCGCACCTGCCATAGCACATGCCAGTCAAGGACTGCCCTGCCCCCTCTGGCCCCCAGACTCCCCGCCTCGAGCTCCCCACCTTGCGCATGGCCTTGGCGTGGATGAAGTGCTGGTTGCACCACAGCGTGGAGTAGCCGTTGTTCTTCCACTGCAGGTAGACGTTCAGGTAGGTCAGGTGGTCACTCTCTGGGACGGCAAACTTCTCCCGCACCTGGTCGCTCTCCTCCTCCCGGCCCTGGGGGTGCAGAGCAGAGCGTGGGGTCAGCCATGCCACCAGTGGCGGAAGCAGGAGTCCCCTGAGGGGGGTGGGCAGCAGGTACCTTGGGCCGGTAGAAGATGGCGGGCACAGAGAGCATGGAGACAATGAGCAGGATCTCAGAGCTGCAACCCATGTCGCAGGAGACAATGAGCATCTTGGAGAGTGCTGGGTCCAGCGGGAACTCCACCATGAGGCGCCCCGTGGGGGTCAGGCCGCCTGCAAGAACAACACAGGGCTGGTACATAAAACATCAGAGGCACCACTCTCCGGGTCAGACCCCAGGTCTGTCTTGCCCAGTCTCCCACGTCGCACAGCAGCAGAGAGCGGATGCTGATGGGGAGAGTGATCTGATCTGACCAGGGGCTTCTCCTCTCCCACTTCCAGCCTCCAGCACTGAAGATCTAGCATGTTCTGACTCAGAGGCCGTGCCCCTCACTCCCTGCTCAAGAGCTACCAATTATACCCGTCAGGAATTTGTCCAACCCCTTTTCTGAATCTGGCTAGACCGTCCGTTTCCACCACATCTGGTGCAACGAGGCCCACACTGTAGTGACACCGGGTGGAAAAAGAATGCCTGTTGGTCAGGTTTTGTGAGCTCGCGCTGAGAGAGAGAGTAAAATAATAAAGCCCCGCTGACTTTCTCTTCATCATCTAGTATTTTGTAAATGCTTCTCATGCCCCTCCTCAAGCATCTCGTGTGAACTGCGCAGACCTGGCCTCCTCCTCGGTCTCTCCTCACATGGAAGCCCTTCCACACCACTCATCCTCGCTGCCCGTCTCTAATTCTGTCTCCTTTCTGAGATGCAGGGACCAGGACTGGGCACTGTATTCAAGGTGTGGACACACCATGGATTTACAAAGAGATATCACGATACTTTGTTTTGCTCACAATTCCCTTTTTAACAATCCCTAATGCTTTGCTGGCCGCCGTCACGCCTGCTAAGCACTGACTGATGCTTTTAGTAAAGTGTTCACAGCGACTCCCACAGCTCTTCCCTGCACTGTAACTGCTAGTGTAGAGCCCGCCACAGTGCAGGGACAGGCTGGGCTATTTGTGCCCTGGAGTGTCACTTTACTCTTATCTGCATTGAATTTCATCTGCCACTTAATTGCCCACAGGCTCATTCCCACGGTCCACCTTGCTCTTATGGCTTGCAATCATTGTATCATCCACAAATGTGGCCACCTCACTACTCACCCTATTGCTGGGGGAGCCCCACCAGTGGCACCTGTCCCTTCCCCTGCCCCCCAAATGCAGCGTACCGGTGTTGTCCAGGGCGCCCAGGATCCAGAGCTGGTACATGGAGTTGAGCATGTTGTCCTCAGGCGGCGGGTCCATGAAGTGGAACTGCAGCAGGTCCTGCACGCCCAGCGATGTAAGCAGCAGCACCACGTTGGCCAGGTTGGTGCGCTGGATCTCGGGCACCGTGGTGGGCAGCAGCTCGTTCTTGTAGGCGCTCTGTGTGTAGAGCCTAGGAGCAAAGGCTGTGAGTGCCACTCCCTCCGCCTGCCCTCCCATGGCAGCAGCTGCTCTGCCACAGGGTGCTGTAGCAGGGCCCGGCTCCAGGGGCTGTGGTCAAGCACTGCCAGGGGCCTCGCCCAGCACTGGGGGTGCGAGTGCCATCAGGCCCTGCAGGCATAGGCACATGCCCCCCACACACCGCAGGTGAGAGCCCTGTCTTGGTGGCTGACTTCCCCTTCCCGTCCCCAGCAAAAGAACTCTAAGATGGAGAGCCACTGGAGCCAACCCTGCAGAGGCAGGAGGCGTCTGCTTAGTGCCCGGGGGCAAACGTGACCAGCTCTGGTCTGGCTCCTACCTGAAGCACTGACCTGGGCCCGTCCGGCCAGCACGGCCCGCCCGCTGATTGGCATTGGCCTGGCTGATGGGGTAGATCTGCAGGGCATCCATCCCGATGCGGGGGTTGAAAACCTGATAGGGAGGTGAGCAACAGAATGGGCCCGACTGCAGGGCAGGGGAGAGGAGGAGCTGCTCCATGACCCACACAAGTCCCACAACCTCCCTCACCAGACCCTCTCCTCACCTTCAGCTTGCAGTAACCAGAGTCGATGACGAACATGATGCCGTCCACTGTCAGTGAGGTCTCAGCAATGTTGGTAGCCACGATGCACTTGCGAACCCCATCGGGAGCCTGTAAATACCCCAGGCACCAGCCTCAGCTTCTGGGCCCAAGACGGTGGGAACAAAAGGGTCCCCCCAAACCTGGAGTCAGGGGTCTAGGGTAATGCTGGCATCCTGGGTGAAGGGGTACCTCAGAAAGGGGTCAGCACTAGTACCAGCAGGGAGAGGGCAGGGTGACAATGTCTGTGCCTGAGGGGAGCAGCCCCTGGCTCATATCCACCCCAGTCAGACCTCCCCCTCCCCCTCCCTGCACCAGCACAGGCCTGGTGGCCCCGCCTGCTCCCCAGGCAGCACCTTCTGGAAGATCTTGGCCTGCAGGTCAGAGGGCAGCTGGGAGTAAATGGGCAGCACAGCAAGAGCCGGTGCTTTCTCCAGCTCCTCCAGGTGCTCCACAATCTGCTCAGAGGTCACCTAGGCACAAAGAAGGGGGTGACCAAGCATGCCAGTGGGGGGAGGGGAAGAAGGGAGCCGCATCAGGCAGTCCGTGGAGGGGGAAGGGGGCATCAGCTCACCTCGATGTCCTCCTGCCCGGGCATGAAGACCAGGATGTCCCCAGGGGCCCCGGACAGATGCACCTGCAGGGCCTGCTTCACTGCAGCCTCCACATAGTCCTCCTGCGGGGTCTGCAAGGCAGGGAGCAGCTGATAGCGGAGCCCAGCCAACTGCACCCCTCCCTCCCTCCCCACAGGGCCAGGAGCAACCCACCTCACTCTGGTCCCAGCCGCACAGAATCCTAGAGCAGTGAGGCTGGAAGGGATCCCTAGAGCTCATATCTAGTCCAACCCCTGCCTGAGGCAGGATCAGCCCTGCCCAAACCAACCCAGACACATCTATCTAACAACTACACTTTACGCAAGACAACCGTGAACCTTGACACAACAGCACACACAGCTCTCTAATCTGCCATAGGAAAAACGGGAACCGTGGCAGCCAACGACCTGCTTCTATAAAAAACTGTTAATATGAATTGCTAATAAATTGCACTCAAGAGATCCTGCAACTTCAAGCCATTGGTCCATGCTCTGCTCTCTGCAACAAGGCAGAAAAGGTACTTTTCCTCTTCTTAACGGCAGTCCTTCAAGTATCTGAAACCTGCTATTGTGTCCCTTAAACACCCTTTCTATAACTGAACATGCCCAGCTCCTTCAACCTCTATTCTTATGACTTGCTTTCCAAACCCTTTATCATCCCTTGTCGCCTTCAGCTGACCTCTCTATGTCCTTTTAAAAACATGGAGCCCAAAGCAGCACAGTATCCAGTTGAGACTGGACCAGCGCCCAGCAGAAAGGCACCTTCACTTTCCGCACCTTACACCGCTTCTATTGCTGCAACCCAAAACCACATTTGTGTGCACATGACCCCAGCCATAAGGACTCCACCCAGAGCACCTTGCTGAAGAGGATGTCAACAGGGAAGGTGCGGCCTGGAATGTGGAAGATGGGAACATTCCCGAAGAATGAGGCAAACTTGTCAGCGTCCATGGTAGCCGAGGTGACAATGAGCTTCAGGTCAGAGCGCCGGGCCACCACCTGGAGGTAGAGAGCACAGGGGCAGCAAGAAGCACACAGCCCTGGAGAGCTCTGAGGCCACGCATGACCTTTGCTGCACAGGACAGGACTTGCTGTCCTGCCCTGCCCTGCCCTGCATGTTGTAGCTTCCCTGCCCAGCATATGCAGGCTGCTGCTGCCCAGCACAAGACCAGAGCAGCCAGCAAACACTTCTGCAGGCTGCTGAAGTTACATGGCCAGCCTGAGAAGCTCCCACGTGGCACAGAAGCCCTGCTTCACCTCTGCTCCCACTTTGTTGTGCCTCTCACCCAGCTGAAGTCCCCCATGCTGGAAACCAGGCTGCAGCCTGCATACTGCCCATGGTGGGCCCCACCCTGCCCTGCCCTGCAGCACGGACCTCCCTCAGCAGCCCAAAGAGCACATCGGTGCTGAGCGAGCGCTCGTGTGCTTCATCCATGATGATGGCACTGTAGTGGTCCAGGTCAGCCTCACGTAGTGACTCGCGCAGTAGGATCCCATCAGTCATGTACTTGATGACTGTGCTCTCTGATGTGCAGTCCTCAAAGCGGATGGCATAGCCCACCTGGGAGGGCAGAGGTCAGTGCTGCCGGGGCCGGGGCAAGGGCCAGGGCTTAGGCAGCTGCTCCCACCCCAGCCCAGCCCGGCCTGACTCACCTCCTCCCCGAGGCGCCCCCCCATCTCCTCGCTGACACGTTTGGCAACGGACATGGCTGCCACTCTGCGAGGCTGGGTGCAGCCAATCATGCCATAGTCGGTGTAGCCATCCTCATGCAGGTACTGTGTCAGCTGTGTGGTTTTCCCGCTGCCCGTCTCCCCCACCACAATCACAATGCTGTTGTCCCTGAAGGGGCGAAAGATCTCCATGCTGCATTCCTGGGCAGCGGCGCTGCAGCCAAAGAGGCCACTCGCAGCTTGGAAGGAGGCAGTGACGACCCAGCCCAGCCCCACAGCCCAGGAAGGTGGCTCTGCCCACCAGGCTCCCATCAGGGGTGGTGACCACATTGGCTGCCATCAACTGCACAGGGGGTGGGTGGGGTTCTCCCCCACATGCTACATGGCCAGGCAGGACACCCAACAGCCTGGGCCTAGCGGCTCCTGGCAGTACCTGATAACAGTGAGCAGCTCCTGCTGCACAGCAAAGATGGGCAAGTACTGCCGCTGCTCCAGGATTGACTTCTTCTTGGCAAACTCGCTGCTGGCCTCGCTCTTTTCTTTCACATGCTCAGCAAACTTCTGCTCTGTCCTGGGACATGAACTCATGCCTGAGCATAGGACCACTGCCTGACCTTGTACCCCCAGCCACGAGACCTGGACAGCCCCTACCTGTAATCCACTCTGCCATCTTCTGCCACAACCTGGTCCTGCTCCTCCTCCTTCTTGATGCCCATGATATCTCCCAGCTTGGTGCCCGCCAGCTCCCAGTGCTTGTGCTGAGCCTGGAGAACAGAAAGCCGGAGTCACCGCAGGCTGGCCGCTGGAGCAGACCCCACACGCACCCCCTCTGGCACCACACACCAAGTGAGCATTTGTGCATCCAGAGAATGCCCCCAGCCTGACCCTCTGCACCCCCAGCCTGAGACCCCAGCCTGTCCCCTCCTGCACTGTGCTCCGGGTGCTGGCTGGCAAAAGCAGGCAGACAAAGGTCTCAATAGAAAGCCCTCAGTGAAGCAGCCATCATGCCCAGGCCCCACCCTGGCTGCTGCAGCGGGTAACCCCTCTCGCTCTTGTAGCCATGTCCTCACTCCAGCTGGAGCACAGGGCCAGCTGTGGCCTCCAGCTGCAGGATAAGGCAGGGTCAGTGACTGCGATGCAGCTGTCAGAGCTCCCTGCTCCTTGTACAGCATGAGTGCAAACTGGCAGCATGCTTGAGCCTGTCTTGTTCCCCGTGGGAGCAAACTGCAGCAAATGCAGATGTGGCAACTGCCTCCTTGCCCATAGGTTGGACATTACTGCTGCGCCTGGATTGGCTCAACTCCACCTTCTGTCCCCAAACTGCAGCTCATGTCCTCAGTGAACACTTGCATAGCTGGGGCATGCGCAGAGAGGTCCCTCCACCCCCCGGGATGCAATAGCTTTGTGCTGCAAAGGAGAGAGCTGGGCAACAGCAAGCTGAGCCCCTGCCAGGCATGGTGCACAAGGGTGGCCTCTCTTCGTCTGAAGATACACAGCCCAGGGTCAGCTGTCCTGTCCTGAAGGAGCCACTCGCTTGCCTCTCTGGCCAACTCCCTGCTCCAGCCACCCCCAGACCTGTGAACCACCCTGACGCCCCTCCCCTCTGGTCACTTCCAAGAACTTCCAGGCTTGTGGGGACTCTCTCTGCCTCATTCAGCTGATGCCCTTGGCTGCCCTGCCAGTCCCCAGACTGCCTGGTTACTTACTTGGGACTCATCTACCTGTTTCCCCTTTCCTTCTTGTCCCATGCCTCAACTGGAAGCTTAGGGGAAACACCCACTTTGTTCCGTCTGTCCTGTGCCCAGCACAGCAGGGTCCAGCCCCTGGCCTATGCCCCCAGCATTAGGGGCCTGTGGGTGAACAGGTGAAGGCAGCTAAGCTTTGCCCCATACCTTCTTGCGCTCTTTCTGCTCCCTGTGCTTGCGCACCAGCTGGCTGCCTTTGCGGGCGATGATTGCCAAGTCTGACGTGGCATCCTTGACCGGGATGACTGGCTCCGGCTGTGGAAACAGGATTGGAGAGATGCCGGTGAGCCCCAGCCACAAGCCTTTGCCAGCCCCTGCAGAGCGCCCTGGTGGCAGCATGCCAGCGCTGCCCAAGTCCCACCTGCTTGGTAAAGACGATCCTGCCATCCAGAAATGGGGGCACCAGGTTGTGCACCAGCAGGTGCACCTTGGCTGCGTTGTCTTCCTCAAAGTCCTCATCCACCTCAAGCCGATGGACCACGCCGCTAGTCAGCATGCGGTTGGTTTCCCAGCGCTCGTTATCCTGTGAAGCCACGTGCAGCAGCATCAGCTCCCTGCCTAGCATCTCAAACAAGGGCCCTGCCTAACCAGCTTCCTTCACAGGTGTTGGGGAACAGGGGAGACGCAGCACGGCCCAGCTGTGTTGTAACACGGCCCACAGCCATCACTCTGACTGGCCCAGGACTGCTCCGTGGCCTAACAGGCAATGGAACCAGCAACGTGGCAGGCTGTGGGGCAGCCAGACTGCCTAGGCTTAGGAGGCTATGCAGCCAAGGGGCGACAGCTTTCCTGATGGGAAGGGGAGAAAATGTGGGCAGGAGCAGGCAGGGTCGTTCTGGGAAAACAATCAGAGGCTTGAAACCATGTCTGACTCCAGCTGAGCTGCGCTGCAAAGCACAGGGCAGAGCTTGGAATGCATCTGCGCAGATCCACCGGCCAATGCGGAAGAGAAGTGAGAGCTTCCCTGGGCTCTAGGGAGACCGCACTGGAAGGCAACACTCAGGTCTGGGTCGCTCATTAGCAGGAAAACCTTGGTCCAGGGAGGAATCCAGAAAACGGCCCCAGAAAGGGCTGGGGAGCTGGAGAACCAACCGCCAGGGAACCAGAACTGCCAGCTCTGCCTAGCCGAGGCATCCATGACACCTGCAGATCCTCTCACGATCCAGCCCCAACCCAGCACAGAGCTGCAACCCCTGTGCATGTACACACACATGCATGCACTGGCTGAACAGGTGGTGAGGCCGGCTCCCCAGGAGTCAGCCTGGCCTGGCCCAGGACCGGCTCCTACCTCATTGATCTGCCTCCGCTGCGCAGAGATGCGCTTCTGCTTCTGCTTGGTAAGGTGCTGCTCCCGCTTCCGCACATACTCTTTCGATGAGTAGGCCAGGGGATTGTGGAACTCGTCGTAGCCCTCGTCCATCATGTACCAGTCCCGGTCGGCTTGCTGTGCACACGCGGCAGCCAGGGGGAGAGGGGCAGGCAGAAGGGAAAAGCCGGAGGACTCAAGAGGCTGCGCATCCTGCCCATGCACAAGCACCTGGAGGCTGGGGACTTCCAACCCAGGAGTGTGGAGCCGGGTGCCTGGAGAGGGCTGTCCCATATCTGCACGGAGCCGCCACACGGAAACTCGGCAGAGGTGCTGGGCCCAGGCTGGCCACGCGGGGGAGCCAACAGCTCGCACAGGACCCAGGACAGGACCCGGGCGGCTACCCGTGCAGGCCGCCAGCCCCTCCTGTTCCCTGGGACGGCCCCTCTCCCAGGGCCCCATGCTGCAAGCACCCCCACACCATGAGCGCACTGCCTGAGCTCTGCACCGAACCACACTTGCTCGCCCCACCCGCCCCTGCCCCATCCCAGTGTACTAAGGGGCCCGCACCTCGGCCTTTTCTCCAGAAGCCACAGACGATGCCGCACCGACCCCTTCTTCTCACACAGCCACCTGCTACTGCTCTACCTGCCCCGGTGCCTCACGCACCCGTGCTGGCCCTAGCTCTGCCCAGCAGGCTTCAAGGGGACACCTCCCCCGACAGCCCTGGTGCCACCCCGCTGGGACAAAGCTCCAGGCTCAGGGCCTCAGACCCAGAAAGAGGCAGCACCCCTCCCTCCCAGGCTCTTACCCGCTGATCATCCTCCCACTGCTGTCGCTCCTCCTCCGTCTCGAAGGCAATCCCTTCCTCCCCGTCCTCGCGCCTCCCTGAGGGAGAATGAGCTGATCAGCATGGAGCCCTCGCAAGCGCCAGACCTTTGCTGAGCGCCCAAGCAGCCAACTTCTTGGCTGTGCCTCCCGTGAGAGGAGTCAGGCCCCCAGAGCCCCATCTCCCTACCCCTCACCTTTCCCCCGAGACAGCCGCGGCGTGGAGCCCAGGTGCTTGCGGTCGTCTGCCCACTCGTTGTACTTGTACGAAGGAGTAGGAAGCGGCGTCCTGTCTGGGTACTTGCTCCTCACAGACCTGGGACAGCACCAGCACGGAGGAGCGTTGCTGGTTAGCAGCCCAAGCACTCTCCTCCTCCTCCTCCTTCAAGGCAGGCACCTGCCGCCCCTCAGCACCTCCACGGGGCACTCCCCGAAGCTGCCCCCGCCCCACCACCTCCGCCTGCCCCAACCTCTGCCCCCACCCAGGCTTCGCTCCAGCACCTTTCCCGATCCCTCCTGTCCGTGTCCCGCGAGGAGGGCGTGCGGTGGCCACGGTCCCGGCAGGAAGGTGCAGGTGAAGGCGACTCCCAGTGCGAGCGGCGCGAGGTGCTGTAGCCGCTGTCATCTTCCTCCCAGCTCGAGCAGGACGGCGTGGCGGCATCTGGGAGGAGAGCGGATCTGTGACGCCGGACACAGCCCCTGCCACCCGGGCTCGGGGACTCCCGCACGCAGCGCAGGCCGGGCCTGGTGTTGCTTACGCAGGGCCCCGGCGCACTCAAAGCACGGACCTGGTGTGGGGGGAGGGCGGCAGCCCCGCGTGGGGCCCCCCAGGATGGGATGGGATGGGATGGGGCAGGGCAGGGCAGGCGGCGTGCTCCCCCAAGGGCTGCAGCTCCCCCGCGGGGATGGATCGCGCCTCCAAGCGGGCCCGGGCCACCGCCCCAGCGCCCCCATCCCCGCGCTACCTTTGGGCCGATGCCGGGGGCTCTCCGGCTCGCTCCTCCTGCTGCCGCTCCTCTCCGTC